TTCAGGGTTCATCTCTTCTCTCTTGTTAAGAATAGACTAGCTCCTTGGAGATCCACTTACATAATCAGGTCTGCTTTCCTTTCAGACTTTCTGCTGACCCCTCTGTCACCCACTGCCAGTCAGGGCAGTCCTTCATTCTGCGTTGGGAGTCTGGAAGAAGACTCTCCTTTCCCTTCCTTTGCCCAGGTAAATCTTTTGCTTGTAAAACAGCCCAAGGGTATCTAACATGAACTCTGCTGCTTGTTCTTTCTGGAAATCTTTCCGTTGGAAAAGGAGAGACTTACAGGCTAATGTTGCATGGATGGTAATAGTCATGGAAAGCTTTTTTAAGAGGAAATCTCATGGATTTAGTCTCAGATATCACCGTATAGACTTACCAAGGAAAGAGGCCAAGAGTAGCTGAGGGAGAATCAGAGCTTCAGTTATTTAACAAATCATTAGATACTTGGGTAGTGAGCACTGTTGTAGGGGCTGGGGAGACAGTCAATTTTAGCTGGTCCCTAGTTCTAGGACCTTGGATTCAGGTAGGGTATATCTGTTACAGATAATAAACCATTCCTCTTCACTTTGGGAAGGGAAAGGTCTTGGTGGTTCTATAACTAGCCAGACCAGCTTTCTTGGGCAGCTGGGTTAGAGGAACACTAGGCTAGTGACACTTGTCAGACCCCCCCCCCGCCCCCCCCCCCCCCAGTAATTGAAGTATTTTATGTACAATGAGTTAGCATTAAGATAGGTCTCTTGGATGACCCATTCAAGGAAGTTCACTTAATCCAATTTACTGAAGCCTGTATCCTTTGAGTACTGATGGAAACACTGGTGGCACATACTGAGGTCCTATTTCCGGATCTCAGACCGTGTGGGTTTGAGCAAACACAGCAAGAACGAGAACCCTGGCTAAATTTCCTTGGATGGCTCCGGTAGAGCTGCTGGTGACCCAGCTTGCTCTCTTGGATGCAGCGACGCAAAAGAATGTCAGATGACTTTATTAATCTTTAAAACAACAAACCAACACTCAGCATTCCTGCATTGAGATAACTAAGGAAGATGGATGGACAGCTTGCCAAGCACCCTCATTGGAATTAGTATTAACCTCTTTGGGGCTAGTTTGGAATCATCAGCTTAACAGTTCTTTAGAGCAGGTGATAATGGATGTTTCTCACAACGAATGGCAGTGTGTGCTGAGAAAAAAGCAGGAATTGGACTTTGGTAAGGAGAGTCCTGAAGTCAAGGAGGAAGAAGTAATTGAGAGTAATCCCAAATATTAACTGGTAGGCTTCAGAGGTGATAATTATGCAAGTGGCTTCCAGGAGTTATGTCAAATACTTAAGTTGTTTTTTTAAGCTAGGTTTTATTGCCATTGCTTTTTTTCAGCATTATATGGTGAACAACTTCAAACTTAAAAACGTTGAAGGAATAGCATAATGAACGCTTTTACCTTTCACCTAAGTTCACCAATTGTTAGCATTTTGCTAACAATTCTCTTTTTACTGTTTTACTATGTTGAAAATAAGTTACAGACCTCATGAATGACAGTTCACCACCAAATACAAGAAAAATGGCCCCCGAAATGACATTCTTCTGTATAAGCACAGTTGTCATGACCACATCAAAGAAATTCAGCTAATTAAATACCTCATATAGTATATATTTCTATTTCTCCATTTGTCTCAAGGGTCCTGTATTTTCAGTCAGGTCCAATCAGAGATTGCTCATCATATGTATTTGTCAAGTCTTCAGTCTCCTTTGATCTATAACAGTTTCTCTAGCCTCTTTTTTTTTTTGTTTATTTTCTTCCTATGGCATGGATATTTTTGAAGCATCCAGGCCATTTGTTGTATATGGAGCTCTAGAGTTTGGATTTGTTGGTTTCTTTTTTTCATGAGTAGATTCGGGTTAAACATTTAAACATTCATAGGTGATATATTTTTTAATGACCTTTTAAGAGTAAGATGATTTGGATGCCGTATTATTTGAACCCCAAACTCCTAGGGACCAAGGGAAAAGATCATGATAAAGAAAGGTTATTCAATGAAATCAACTTCTGCCAGCCCAACTCCATTTGAATAATAATCGTACCTCACTTAGGGACACATACTTCAGAACAAGAAATTCCTATTTGAATCTTGTGGGGCTTGTCTCGTGGTATTTTTCCAGGAATAAAACTCCCCCTGCTTTGAGCATGGCATGTGTGGCAGATGGGACTCACACTGGCCCTCAATAATTAAGAAGCTGCCCTTGGCCAGATGAGATGAAAGAGTTCCTTCATTCAGGGGCAGGAGGGATCATTCTGATTTTACTGTACATGGAGGAATCTGGTCTATGGCTGGATCTAAAAGTTAATTATTAAGGAGCCATTGGAAAAGCAAAGACTGAAGGGTAATGAAGGTTGTTGGAGCAGTTTCAGGATAAAGTTAAATTTATTCTGGTTTTCTTGGCCTTAAAGTAACTGGAGTTCAATAGCCAGGTGGTTCATTTTAAAATTGGAGGGTACTGCACACTGCTTATTCCAAGGGGTTTATGTTTTTAGGGGTCCCAAGAAGAGCGGGGAAAACTTATCAGAAGGGAGTGACACAAAGTCAGGATTCCCAACTGAGTTAAGAACCTCTTGTGCTGTCAATGCACTATTCTTTACCTGTTTCCTAAGGAACAAAACAGGCTTTGGCCTTACACCTTGGGAACTTCACTGCTCGTTCTACTGGTCAGGATATAGAGAACATGACCGAAATAGTGTGTGGAAGAAAGAAGTACCTGGAAAATCCTTTTTTCCAGAGGTGATAATTCTTTGTCCTCCTAGCCAGTTAGTGTCAAGACAAGTCTGGAAAAGAAATTGGACTGGTTACTTAAATTCTTTTCTCCCCTCTTTCCCACTTTGGCAGATGCTGAGGGTTGGAAAAGCAAAAGCAGATGTGTGGCCCAAAACTGCTCCCAAAAAAGGTGAGAATGACCTTTTAGTGGAGGGGGAATTTGGTCCCTTTCAGAATGTCAGAGTCTCTAGAATCGTCTCTAAAATTGTAACACTGGTATTTTGTAGATGAGAACAGCTTAGTTCCTCCTGCTCCTGTGGACAGCGATGGGGAGAGTGATAACTCAGACCGTGTTCCTGTGCCCAGTTTCCAGAATTCCTTCAGCCAAGCTATTGAAGCAGCCTTCATGAAACTGGACACACCAGCTACTTCAGATCCCCTCTCTGGTAAAAGCAAAGAAATGGAGTGCTCGGTACAGGGTTGTCATTCCCACCTGGATCCCATGGTGGACATCACTAATTAGGCACTTCTCTCTGAGCCTGTAGGTTTACAGGCTATTGTCAGTTAATAGTCCTTTTGGTATGTCAGCTAGGACCTTTTTGCCACCCCACATTAATTCTTGAGGCCTAGATGTGAAATTCTGAGAAACTCTATTTTGTCCCTTCTAAGACATAGTAGTGGAGAGTAGATTTTAGAATCCTGAGTTTGGTAGAGGGTGGCTAATAGATGGAGAAGTCAGGCTTGAAGCCCACACCACTCTGTGGTTATTCAGTTAGACAAGAACATTAACGTTTAGGGTGTGCCTTATCTGCGCTTAGCATTGTGCTCATTTTATTCTCCCACCAACTATATTAAATGGGTAGAACTATCACGGGTAGAGCAGATGAGGAAATGGGTCTAGGGACTTAAAGGGACTTGCCCAAATACCTGGAGCATGCAAAGACTGGTATCTGGATCCATGCAGTCCTCATCCTAGAACCTTAGCTGCCTCTCTGGGACTCTCAGGAGTGAAAACTGACTGTGGGCAAGGGGATGGCATTCAAAAGCTAATAAGCTCTTTCTGTGTTTCCATTTAGAAGAGAAAGGAGGAAAGAAAAGAAAAAAACAGAAACAAAAGCTCCTGTTCAGCACCTCAGTCGTCCACACCAAGTGACACTACTGGCCCAGCTACCTTCTCCATCTGGTTTTCTTTTTTCTCTGCTTTTGTTTTGCTGCTGTAATTTTTAAGTATTTGAGTTTGAAAAGATTAGCTCTGGGGGGAGGGGGTTTCCACAGTGTGAGGGGGAACCAAGAAAATTTTAAATACAGTGTATTTTCCAGCTTCCCATCTTTACACCAAAATAAAGTATTGACACAAGAGATCTCTTCCTGCCAAGATTTTTAGTTTGTTACCAGGGTTAGTCTTTTTTTTGACCCATGTGTAATTAGTTTTTCTCAGCCCAAATAAGTTTGAGTCCGTTCACCATCCCTTGGAGCAGCCCACACCCCAGAGTGTTCTAGCACTGCTCTGCTGACATGTCAGAGCCTCATGGTTTCAACACATCGCTCAGTGTGTCTTTTAATAATAGTTGAGTCTTTCCTGTTTAGTTTTCCTCTTGTTAAAGAAACAGAGGATGGGAATAAAATGGATTTAGGACGCCCAGCTTGAATTGCAGTTTTTCTTCTGAGAAATGGCCAGGCTGCGGTGCCGGGCCTGGTTTGCTTACCTGTGTGCTAGAGGGTTTTAGATCTTGTATATGGCTCATTTGGCAAGGAAAGCTGTAATTGTCACTAAAGAAGCCCTGGAACCTGCCAACTGTTAGATGAAGCTTGTTTCTAGTGACAGTGGCCTGAGTTGTAGGAACAGAGGAGTCTGGCACACCTGGAGGCGGAGCTGGGCAGGTTTGAAAGCAGTGGTAGTGCCCACTGCCTCCCTGTTTTCTAGAGCAGTCAATGACTTGGTTGGAGCAGAATTTGAGTGATGTGAATTATTTTGCTGTTTAATAGTGACCTCTAGGTATAATATAGAATGTGAAGGCAAACAGTTGCAATAAATCACCTGCACAAGCAACGCTGAGCTTTCTGGTTTTTTAAAGTTCTTTACAGGTTAGCTAGACACACTTCTTTTTGTTTTTTTTTTTTTTAAGATTTTATTTATTTGACAGACACAGAGAGGGAACACAAGCAGGGGGAGTGGGAGAGGGAGAAGTAGCCTTCCTGCAGAGCAGGGAGTCGGACTCGGGGCTCGATCCCAGGACCCTGGGACCATGACCTGAGCCGAAGGCAGCACGCTTAACGACTGAGCCACCCCAGGCGCCCCTAGACACACTTCTTAAATAGGTTAAAGTAATAGCTGCTACAAGCTTGAGCACTCTGCCGACACGGGGCAGTGTCTTTCCTACTGTCAGGCCTAAGGGGTTCCCGAGTTGGGCTTAGCTTTACCTGTCATTCTTTTAAGAAAGAGGTTCAGAAATCCTGGGACAGGAACTGTCCTGGGTGCATGAGGGTGTTCCAGCCCTGAAAGTGAGGGGACACATTGAAGCAAACATTACAAATCTGTTAAATGTAAAAGGGATTTTGAATAACATGTTTTGTTATACAAGAAAACAGATCCTAGAAATGTCCTTAGTTAAGTAGTGGATCCAAATCCTCCTAACCTCTGTGAGTGTGGCAGTGTCACTCCGTCTCAGGTGGCCCGGCCTGCAGAAAACTGGAAGTTGACAGCTGCTGCTTGGCTTTGTAATGTCAGGCAAGGCCAGGTTTTGTCACCCCCACCCACCCCAAGAAAAGTGCAAGAACGACGTTTGTTATCCTGTTACCTGATTAAGGATTGGTAAGGAATCTCGTATTTTTAAGGCCCCGTGGGTCAGTAAGGAGACCAGCTATAGATTTGTGCCAGTTCAGTTGTCGTGTCTAATACTTTTACTCTAAATAACTTGAATTGCTTAGGGTTCATCCTAGGGGTGAGGGCACAAGGCCTCAAGTGGGAGGCTATACATCTAGCATTATAGGGAGCCAGTCTCCCTGCTGAGGCCAGGGATAGAGGGGGAAGGAGACCTGGCCAAGCTTGAACTTCATAAGTATACTAAATGCTACAGAAGCCAAGTACATTTTTCTTTTTTAAGATTTTATTTATTTGACAGACACACAGCAAGAGAGGGGACACAAGCAGGGTGGAGTGGGAGAGGGAGAAGCAGGCTTCCTGCGGAGCAGGTAGCCTGATGTGAGGCTCAATCCCAGGACCCTGGGATCATGACCTGAGCCGAAGGCAGACGCTTAATGACTGAGCCACCCAGGCGCCCCGTATATTTCTTTAAGTTTCTATTTGAGAGAGAGGCGAGAGACAGAGCAGGAGAGGGAGAGAGCAAAGAGAGTCCGAAGCAGACTCCATGCTGAGCACAGAGCCGGGACTCAGGGCTCAATCCCACAATCGTGAGATCATGACCTGAGCCAAAACCAAGAGTCAGATGCTTAACGGACTGAGCCACCCAGGCGCCTTGCCAAGTGCTTTTATTAAACCTCCTCAGCCAGGCAATTAGATAGAGACGTTTGTAACTACTGGGGGTTCACCACCTGCAGAACCACTTAGCCAGGCAGCGCTAGGTAAAGGTGACTTCAGTTTAAGTGAACAAGTCCTCCATTTTGAGCTGATACCTTGGCCTCTGGTCTGCAGTCATCCATTTTGGCAAACTAGCAGATGCTGCTGCCTTCCAGAATGTCCTGTTCCAACAAGTGGGCCCTGAATCTCAGGCCCAGCACAGCCTGCAGAGAGGTTCACTCCATTGCTTCAGCAGCCTCCTCCTCACCGCCATTGTCTGAAAGCTCCTCCTCATCTGATCTCTCCTCTAGTAAACAGCTTCTGGTGACAGACTTCTGGATAGCTTCCCGTTCTGCTGGAAAGGCAGGCAGAGCAGGGATGAAAGGTCTTTGGGAGTGACCTCTTACTCAGGCTAGTTACTGCTCAGTGGGCACTGGCTAATGTTGCTTACCTTCATCAGTGCAGTTCTGCAATAAGATCAACAGCTGTCTCCTGTTGTAACGAATCAGGAACTTCTGACATGTTCTAATTGTACCTGGCACATGAAAGAGCTCCATGGTCAACAGCTTGTGAAAGGTGTCTGCCTCAAAGACTTTCCAAGTTAGGTGAAAGCCTCCCGTTCTGGCAGGATAGCAGGAAGACCCACCTGCCTGTCAAGACTGAACCCTGGACCTGTTACTATTGAAAATCAGCAGCCATACCACATGCACCCCTACCTCCCACGTGTAAGGTGTTGAGGAAACACGGGTAACGGTGTCCTTTGTTCTCCAAGTATGTGATGAAAGGAAGAGCTGAGCACACAAGTTGGTAGAATTCCTTCCGGCATCGAAGTAGCACTATTCCAGTATAGGCATTGAGGTATCGCACTACAGCAGGGGGAAAAAATCATTTGGGGAAACTGGATTCACTTAAAAATCTTAAGAGTAACTGAGAGTCTACTGTGTGCCAGGCAGTGGCGCTTGGGATGCATCAGTGAGTAAAAAATTTCTGAAGGAAAAAAAACCTTAGGACAGACCTTCATTTATGGAAAAGGGATAAACCACACCCAGGGCTTTGTACACCACTCAGAACTGGTGAATGAATTTGGAATTTTAAATGCTCCTCTAATTCCCTGATTAACTGATAAGTGGGGTAGGGATTGGCAGGGAACCATCTTCCTCAGAGGAAACCCTTGGCTGAAAAACAGGTGGTGGTTTTTTTTTTAAGATTTCATTTATTTGACAGCACAAGCGGGGGGAGAAGCAGGCTCCCCCTGAGCTGGGAGCCTGATGGGCTGGATCCCAGCACTGTGGGATCATGACCTGAGCCAAAGGCAGAAGCTTAAGGCACTTGAGCCACCCAGGCGCCCCCTGAAAAACAGGTTCTATTGCAACTGGACTCTCTAGGTACTTGAAGAGGCTGAGAATGACCCAATATAAGTGAACTGTGCCTATGTGCATGTAATTCTCCAGTATTCAATTTTAAGCAAAGGGTAAAAGAGGTAATGAATTTAAATATTAAAGTGTGGCTAGGGGAGTCCGGGTGGCTCAGTCGGTTAAGCGTCTGCCTTCAGCTCAGGTCTTAATCCCAGGGTCCTGGGATGAAGCCCTGTGTCAAGCTCCCTGCTCAACGCGGAGTCTGCTGCTCCCTCTCCTCCCTGTTCCTGCTCGCTCTCGCTGTCTCTCTCTTTCCAATAAATATTTAAATAAAATTGTGAAAAAAAAACCACTTGAAAAAAGCGTGCCTGTCAGAAGAATCCTCTTCCTCATTTACATACGGTGGTGGGTTCTGTATTTCATCTGCCCTATTAAGGGCTTTTTAGGGGCAATTTTGACAATATTTTTCCCCATGGGATGTCAATGTAACCAAGTAACTTAACTCGGAACTACACATGGCTTTCCCCATTTAATTCATTATCCTGCTCAATTCAATCACAATCCCCACTATACACGTGTGAAATAGGTAAAGCAGATTCTTGGGCAAAGTGCCCTGCCTTACAGCTCTCCGCCTAAACTCGGACTCGTCCAGACTTGGGCTTAGACTCCGAGTGGCCTCAAGAGGACGATACTGTACAGTGAAGTCTGTGTATCGGGCTTGCAAGCTCCTGCGGTCGCTCGTACCCCTTCTTTCTCCCTCTTCCGGCCCCCGTTCCCTCCCAATCCCGCCGTCCGCCTAGTTCCCCAGGACCCTCGCACCCGCGAAGCCGATGGAGCAGGAGGCCGCGCCGAAAGTCCCGTGCACGCGGGCGATCGTGTCCCGTATGAGGCCGCCCAGCACTCGGTCCTCCAGACTCAGGCGGCAGCGGGGGTCATCAGACACCACTTCGCAGAGCAGGTACCTGCGGCGGGCAGCAGGAAAGTGAGCGCGGGGCCGAGGCCGCGGGGACCCGACAGGGAAGCGGGTGCTGGACAGAGTCCTTACCTGTGTTTGAACCGCACCATGGCTGCCTCCGCGCCCGGCGGCCCTGCGCCCGAACCGGATATCTGCTGGCGGCCAATGGGAAATTACCCTCCGCCGTCTTGCAACCACTCAGAGAGGGAAACAGGGTAGGAGGGCGGGGCTAGAGAGTTGGGAGGCCGAACCCAGTGTCAGTCTCCTTTAAGCCCTACCTCCCTCTACATTTGTAGAGCGCATGCGTCGTGCTGACAGCCCCGCCGAGTTAGTTGTTTGGGGGTGGAGATCCGCGGTGGAGTGGCGTGTGGTTGCGTTGGGTGTTTCTGCAACACGCTAGTTTGCAATTCTGTGTAGGACGCAGCCGCATTTGGGGCTCTTGGGCTATTTACTTTTTATTACCTTGCTGTGAAGTTGTGTATGCACTTATATTCGCTCCCTAAACTAGACGGCACAACTTTTGAGGGCAAGACCCTGCATTTACACGCCTGGGATTGACACGGTAAATCGGACCCCTAGTTTCAGGTTAGAGCTCTGTTTAATTTTTTCGTACAGCCAAATATATTATTACTGTTTGGGTCTTTCAACAATCTTATGGAAACCTGTGTATTGCCTCGGCTTTTGTTTGCAGAAACAATCCGTGGTTGTTACATTTTACTTAAAAAAAAAGTATCAAGAAGGAAATAAAAAATTATAATCTCAGCACCGGGAGAGAATAATTTATCATGTAGTGTATTTTCTTCCTTTTCGTTCCCCCTGTGCCATCGGGCCTCAAAGTGAGGTCCAGGGACCACTGGGTTTTCTGAGACTCTTTCCAGGTGTCCCTAATGTCAAATTACTTTCATAATAATACTAAAACGTTATTTGCCTTTTTCACTTTCTCAGAGTGGACAGTAAAGTTTTCCAGAGATTATGTGACAGGTGCTGACATTATAACTTGGATGGCTAATGGGATTTTCTATTGTGTTTTAAACACTTCTCAGTTTTATTTGTTTACTTGGAATCTTTACATTTCTCAAGAAGTTTTAATATCCATGATAAGTATCAATATATCCTATAAAAACAAAAGCTCTTTGGGATCCTCAATAATTTAAGAACATAAAGGGGTCCTGAGACAAAAAACTTAGAACTGCTGCTCTATGATTAATTATATTTTTCCTTTTATTTTCTTATGAATAGGATCAAACTGTTTAGCACTTTTTTTTGCTTTTTTTTACAACTGAATTATTGAGGTGTACTATGCATAAAGTACATATTAAGTGTAAGGCTTAATGAATTTTTACATATGTGTAGACTTTTGTAACTACCACCCATATTAATAGGGAGCATTTCCACACCCAAGAAGGCTCCTTGCTCTCTTCCCAGTCAAAACCTTCCCAGAAATAGCCTCTGTTTTGAATTCTATCATGATAAGACCAATTTCGCCTGTTCTTGAACTTTATTTATTTTGAAAGATTTTATTTTTTAAATTTATTTGAGAGAGAGAGTGCGACAGAGCACAAGCAGTGGGGAAGGGCAGAGGGAGAGGGAGAAGCAGACTCCCCGATGAGCAGGGAGCCCTATTCTGGGCTGGGATCCCAGGACCTTGGGATCATGACCTCAGCTGAAGGCAGCCGCTTAACCAACTGAGCCACCCAGGCACTCCTGTTCTTGAACTTTATATAAAAACCAACAGTATGTTTGTGTGTGTGTGTGTGTGTGTGTGTGTGTGTGTGTGTGTGTGTGTGGCTCCTTTTGCTCAACATAACGTAAGATTCATTCTTGTTTGACTGTTTTCATGTCAACCCTTCTGCAATGTTGTTTTTCAGCTGCACAGATATAACACTGCTAAATTGGTCAGTATTCCCACGATAGACAAATTAGTTCCAGATTTTTTTGTTATACCCAGTACGCTAGTTCACAGCTTTGTAACTTGATCTTTATACTTATCCCTATTTGTAGAATTGTGGAATTGGCTGGCCCTGTGAGGTCTATGAAGGGAGGCCACGTATTTGCAAAGTCTGGAATGAATCCTCAATTTCCCCATCTCTCAACTCTTTGCCACCATAAAGAAGGGATGTTGAGGAAGGAAGGGCAAGAGGGGAGGCGGGGAGGCGGGAGGGCAGTGGCCCTGCTGAGGGACCTGTGTCTACGCTATCTCATCCCAAAACAACCTGTTTATCCAAAAACGGTTTCGCCAGCATCCCCCTTTGGCCAGCAGGGGGCGTCAGAGGCCCGTTGTGCGCGGAGAAGAGCCTCAGAGCACCCCTCCCTGCGCCTCGCGTCCCTCAAGTAACACCAACACTTCCTAGCTTTCAACTCGCTTAATCCCAACGCCGCGCCCATTTTATTGATGCAGTTGGGGCTCAGACCAAAGTCACATCCAGTAAGGAGCTGGATTAGAATTCGAACCCAAGGCCATCCGACTCGAGTCCTTACTCTCGCCCACGCAGCAGCTGCTATCCTGTGCACGGTTTTGCCTGTCCCCTCACTATTTTCCAGCCACTTGCTGCCGGGGAGGCTAATTCACGTCCCTAGACCTCAGTTTCCTCATCTGTGTAACAGGATGACGGTGGTCCCTCGCTCGCGAGTGAACCGGAGAGAAACGAGATAGCGTGGGCGAAACGCCTGACACCGGGAGCGCACCGTACACGCCGTTTTGAGTGAATGGTCTGTTCCTCCCCGCCCCCGGCGTAGCCCCCGGAGCAAGCACACTGGGGGGCAGTCCCGGGCCTCCCCTCCTCGGGACGGGGTCCGGCTCCCCCCGCCGGCCGCACGGGGGGGGTCCAGACATCCGCGGTGGCCCGGCAGCCGGGGCGGCGGCGTGGGCGGTGCAGCCCGCTCCCCGCGGTAATTAGCCCGCGCCGGCTCCGGCTCCGCCAGCCGCTAATTACACGTCTCCTAATGAGGCCGGCGGCTGTTTGCAACCACCCGGGTCCCCGCCGCGCGGCGCGGGAGGCCGCGGGGGAATCCGCCGGTGGAGGCGTGGACGCGCTCGGCGGCGGCGACGCGCCTGCGCCTCGGTGGTGCGGGTCCCCGGGATGCCTGCCGGGCGGGGGCGGGGCGCTCGCCCGCAGTCGCTCCTCGAACCTTCACCGCAGCGCCCGAGTGATCCCCACCTTACAGGGAGAAGGGCCGCCGAGGCTCAAACTCACAGGTACAGAACTCAGGCGGGAAGAGGCTAATCGCGATCTGACCCCAACCTGGGCACTTACTTGATCGGTGGGGGTACTTGCCGTTGTTACTCCTGGGAGTTCTCTGAAAGGGCAGATCCTACATCAGATCAATAAGGGGAAGGTGGGGGTGCTTGGGAAACTTCCTTCCAGTGCCTTCTTCTCACTTGACAGTTCCCATTTGCTCTTTTGGATCAGACACAAAATGGAATTATTAGCTTTGGCAAGGCCTTTAAAACTTACTTGGAAACATAAGTCACCCATCCCATTTTCCAGACTGGGACATCTGGAACATTCCCTAGGACGTGGTTGGGGCAACTGCTAAATCGCTCTCCTAGATGGGGATGGGGGGGCCACCGCTGTGTACCTTGTTCCCAGGCTCTTCTGAGGTGGGGTCCAGAGTAGCTGCTTTTATTCTTCATCTGTATCTTCGGGGCTTCCATGTATCAGGCTCTCACTGTGTGCCAGGCACTGTGTAAGCACTTTCATTTAGCCCTCAGGACAACCTTCTCTGAGGTCAAGGAGCAAATGACTTGTCCAAGGTCACAATGTAATGTCAGCAGACAAAAGACCTTTTTTGTCTCCCCCCCACACCTGTGCTCTTAACCCCTTGCTCTCTACCTCTTCTGGGATGTCTGGGACCTAGAAGGATGTTCGGAGAAGGCAAACCCGATTGGGGTGTCATTCTGGGGTGACTTGGGCATCCAAGGGTCCCTACCAGGGTGTGGATGCTTGCTGCCATGGTGGGTAGTGGTAAAGGGAAATTGTATCTGCTGCAGCATTTTGTTAAGCAGCTGCTGCTCATTAGGGGCGCCTGCCCCTCTGATCCAATCAACCATTTCCCTGTAAAACCTTTATGGGAACAATCTGTATAAAATTCAACCCTCCATCTGCTTGGCCAGGGGCTTAGGGAGCCGCTGCGTCCTCCAGGTTCCCGGGGGGGCAGACATGGCCCTCTCTGGGCCTCAGAGACAGAACACTGCATCTCACTCCTCTCTCCTCACTGCCTCGTGGACTTCCTTCCCTCTTCCCTGCCTGCCGCGGGGGTTCACTCATCCAAAAATTAATTGAAATTACAAGGGCACTACGGTTTGACCCAGCAATTTCTCTGCCAGGAATTTATCCCACAGAGATTCTTGCAGTTGGGCCAAATGACAGGTGAACGAGGATGTGTCTTGCCGTATTGTTTCTGATAGCACAAGGCTATCTCAGTGTCTATCAGAAAGGATCCACTGTATGTGTATATCTATCAGACACCATGTGCCAGAGGATGTTCTAAACACTTTACCTAGATTGACTCCTTTAACCCTCACAGCTACCCTTTACATGAGATACTTTAATTTTAGTAACTCATTTACAGGTGAGGAAAGGGAGACCCAGAGGGAACAGGTAGCTTGCCCAAGCTTCACATAGATAGTAAGCAGCAGTACCAGGCAGCCCATATTCTAAATCCCTATGCGAATATAACTTCTCTGTCTTTATGTGCATGGAGAATTTCCAAAAAGGGACCCAAAAGCAATTGGCAGAAGTTGCCTCTGGGGAGAAAAATTAAAGGTGTGGAGTCGGAGGGGAACTCCCCTTTTCCTGGGTCCCCTTTTGTACCATTCTGTTTTACCAGGTGCACGTGTTAATTTCATAATTTAGAGGCGTTTCTGAGTCCCCAAAGCGTGTTATTGCTAGTTCGTACCTCAACCCTGGGAGTGGGTAATATCAGCCTCATTTTGTAGGTGAGGAAGTTTGAACTCCCTGCATGGGCCGGCCAGCCATGTGCCTGGGAATGACAAGAGGGCTCTCAACCCAGTGCTCATTCCCTTAATTTATATTAGCCCCCTGGGCTTGCAAGATTCAGAGGGAAGAAAAACAAGGCTCAGAGGGTTAAAAGCATGGATGCCGGGGGCCAGCTTGCCTGTGTTCAAGTCCTGACTCAGCCACTCAACC